CCGTCACACACCTGCACTTATACACCACATGGTCAAAATCCACCACTTCAGTTCCCCCTCTAAGGGACATATGAGTAGCACATTTAGAAGCAAACTGGAGCCCTAGTAGCAAATGGCTTTTTCCCCAGTCTAGAATTAACATTTTCAATGGAAAAACTATCTTGTGGAGCATGGGTGGGAGAGGGCCTGGAAAGCAAGAGAGGTCCATGGCTTTATAAGCAATGTATCAGCATCATCCAGGACCCGCACTTGGCTGGTGGAAAAGAAAAGACAACTCTTCCTTTACAGCTTTGTCATCCAGGAAAAAAACCATGGTCCAAACCATGCCATGAATGAAGGAACACAAGGGGTTGCAGCTGTTCTGAAGGTGCGTGGGGCTGCTTGTAACACCAGGCTGAGTTCCCTCATATATTCTCTGCATATGGACATATATAGCCCTACCCAGTATAAAGAGGCGTCCAAGGAGACCCAATCCATGCAGCAGACCATCTACTGACAGCTTATGGTGACGGGCAGTTTGCAGCACAGTATGACGGAGCCATTGCTGGCTTTCTCTCCAGCCAATTTACTGCAAGCATCTCATTGGAGGCATTTCAGAGATGATAGTGAACACGGCAGGAGAATTTGACTGCAGTGGGGCTAACGAAAAGATGGGACAGAAATGATCAGATACTGAGGTGAAATCCTGTTACTAGTGAAGTCAAGAACAAAGCTCCTCCTCAGGACAACGGGGCCAGGAGTTTACCCCTCCACATTTAGCACATTTTAGCCATCACTCTCCAGACACTTCTCAAAGGAAGGTCTGAGCTGTCTTAGTCTTTCAAGCAGGGAAACAGATGCTAAGCACTTCACCCAAGCTCATCCAGCAAACATTACAAAGCTAGGCCAGACTGTCACTTCCGGACCCTCTAACGGACCTAGGCTTCCCCTGGCTTCCTGCCGTTTCAGGGTTGATTAGACTCAGGGCTGCAAACCACTAAAATAAACAGGGCTTTTGCTGTCAGCAACAGGCTCACTGCTGCAAGCTTTCTCAGCATCAAGACAGCCACAGTCACCAATGTTTGCTGTGCTGTAGAGGAACAGAAAGTCTTCTGCATGGTTACTAAGGGAAATATCTTGCCCTATTAGCAAATGGCATATGCTTCAGTCTGGAAGGGACATTTTCAATGGAAAAACAAGAAACCATCTTGAGGCATGGGTGGGAGTGGGGCTGAAAGACAAGAAACATTTATGGCTTTATAAGTAACATATCACTATCATTCAGGACAAGACCCTTGGCTGGTGTGAAAAAAAAAAGATCAGCAAGACTCCACTGAAATCAACAGTGTAATGCTAATTTGTAGCAGCTGAGGATCTCATCCAAGGGCTGTAAATCTATTGTGGGGCTCTTGGAAATACATGGAAACAATATTAACCTTATCAGAAGTCGGCTGACCATGAGAAGGGAAGGAGATGGACCCCTGTCATTGCTGGCCAGAAAATTGCCTGGGTAAGCAGAAGGGTAAAGTCTAGAATTATTAGCTCTATGAGGATGACCAGGTGTACTTTGCACCAGGTATACATACACAGAAGTGGGTGAGCATACAGTTGTACTCAGATCCCTGGGGCCTATCCTCAGCATGGGACAGGAACAGCATTGAGAAACCAGGGAAGTTGCCTCTGTCTCACGAAGAAGCTGTTGAGGACAGAGATCCTGGCAGTGCCTCCTCCAGAAGATGGAGGCCATCTTCAGCATGGAGTGGAGTTAACATCGGTAGATTTTAAGGCATGCCATGTGTTCAGTTGGTTAAACTAAGACACTGTTGCAAAGTTGTTCTTTTGCTTCATTTCATACTATCTGCTCTTTTCCAGCTGCAGTTCCTTTAATCTTACATAAGAAACTTGCTCATCCTTGTAGCCCTGTTAAAAAACGTTGGTTGGGAAGTCATTTTTCAGAGAAGAGGAAGATTCTTTCCTCTACTACTGTTCCTATTACAGTAGCACCTAAGAACCTCAGTTAAGGATCAGGGCCTGATTTGAGCTAGGCCATGGGCAGACAGGGAACACAGGAGATTATTATCCCTGAGACCTGATCTTCATTCCATTGTACAAGCAATGCACCTTGCACTAAGGATGGCTACTAGCTTTACTGTTCTTTTAAATGTAAAATATCACACCAGGACTCCGTGCAAACTCTGCTACCTGCCAGTAAAGCAGCAACAGTCACACGAACACAGACATGTATGACAAATGTGGTTTTCATGTTGCCTGGGTCATGTTAGGAAGGTGACATCTTTGCGCCATCTGCTGGCAAAGCAGTAGCATTGGTGCTGAGATGTACTTCCCCCCTCACCCTGTCTTTCTCTTGGGATTGGCCCTCAGTCATCAGAGTGAGAAGTGCAGAACTGATGGTTTTGGTCTAATAGCCAAGCTGAACATTGTGAGTCATGCACCCTCCTGAAACCTTGCAATAACTGGCACCTTCCCAAACCACCTGCAGCAGCCTGCACAGCTCAGCCTGGCTCTGTTTTACAGAGAGAAGTGAAAGGAATACATATCTTGTTGAAAGACAGAGTTTTCAACAACACCTTCTTGATTTATCATGTCTTGACTTGTATGTGGATGTTGACGATGGACAGGCTGCTGGACTTCTCTTAAGATGCTTAAGAAGAGAAATGGGGCCTATGTACAAGCCAGTCTTCTAATGGACTTACTTTTCTACTCCCAATTTTGGCATCAAAGCCCTTTGTCTTGATGAAGCAATAAGCGATGGCTGACAATCTTAAATCAGCTCCTCTTGCTGCTTCTTCCCACCCGGCCAATCCTTGTCCCACTGAAGTTTGTGGAAGTTTTCCATTACCTTCCCCAGAAGCAGAATCTCTTCTCTAACTACCCAAGGTTTCACTTGGTGCCTGTTACTGTAGTATCCAAATTGCTTATCCCAGGTGTCAAACTCATCAGGCTGGATGAGTGGCACTGACCACAGGCCAGACGAATGGTACAAGACTGGCCCTGCAGGCCATATAGGGCCCCTGCACTCCCCACATGCTGGATCCAGCACATACAGTGCCTGCTCTGGGACCTAGGCTGTACATGGCATCTGCCCTAGCAGGTCCAGGGCAGAAGCCATATGCAGCACAGGTCCTGGACTGACTGAAGCAGGCACAATGTGCAGTGGGGTCCTGCACTAGCAGAGGCAAGTGCTGTATGAGACACAGTCCTGGCTGATTGGCACCACAGGTGACACAGGTCCCTGACTGGCCAGTGTAGGTGCATCATGCTGCATGGATCCCAGAGCAGGCACCACATACAGCTCATGTCTTGGGCTGGCCAGGCTAGGCACCATGTACAGCTCATGTCCCAGGCCCTGCATGTGGGGCCTGTCTAGCACATGTCATGTGTGGCTTGTGGGTCAGCTCTGGACCCAAGAGCAGCACTGGAAGCTGGATGATGGGACTCGGAGCTACAGTGAGGCCTAGGTCCTGCTCCTCAGCAGTATTTAGGTGTCCTACTCCTGTAGAAATTATCCAAAGGCTTAACAGGAAACCCACTGCGGAGCAGGAAACTGAACCCAGGTGTCTTAAACTGAGGTTAGCACACTAACTGCTGGTCCCCCTTCTTCCTAGCATCAGACTCCTCCATTAGGTCATCAGCTTTTCTGTGCTAGGATTATTCCAATCCCATTTCCCATTTGTGCTGCTCCACCACCGGTAGTGGTGAGAGAAGCACTTGGTGTAGACAGGCCATCTATGTCTTACTCAGCTCAGAGCAGGCTGGAGACCAATGGCTGAATATGTTCCCCAGGCTGGGACACCTGACTTCAATCTACATCACACTGTATTATATCAGTCTATGCCAGTGGTTTTCAACCTGTGGTCTGCAGACCTCCGGGGGTTTGCAGATGATGTCTGAGGCAAAGGTTGTAAATCAGGAGTACATGTACCCCCAGGGGTACTTAGAAAGGCTGTAGAGGATATGTGCAGGTGGGTGGGGACAAAGTGCACCCCATGGTGCAGCAGTGGCATCTTCCCTGGTGCGTTCCCATACTTTGCTTCTTCCGGTGGGGAGGGGCACACAGAGTGCTGCCAGCTGCATGCGGCACACCGTGGTGCCTCCCTGCCCCCCACCTCAGCTTGCTCTCTGCGCCCACCCCCAGGTGCAGGGCTCGGGAGGCGAGGGCTGTGGTGTCCCTCTGCAGGCTGCACAGGCATCACACAACCAGCCAGGGGGTGAGACTCGAACACATACCTGCTGTGTGTGTGCGTCTCCATGTGTCTGTCTGCATCTCCATCTGCGTGTTTGTGTATGTATGCGTCTCACCTCCCGGACGAACTGCTCTCGTGGCTCTGGCCCACACTCCACCCCCCGCTGTGCAGCACCTTCTTCTGCTCCTGCCCCAGCTCCAGCCCCACCCCCTCCCTCACCACGAGGGCCCTCAATCTTCCCTCCCCCCCCATTAAAACCAAGCAAAAAAAATAAACGGGTACATGAGCTGAAACTTTGAGGCAGAAGGAGTACACTTGTTAAAGAAAGTTGAAAACTCCTGGTCTAAGGGATCTGCAAAAGATGACTGTGATCTATCAAAAGTATGTGAATACCTACGCTGACAATTCAACAGGGTCTGCACCTCCATGCAAAATTTTTTAGGGGTCTGCAAATGAAAAACGTTTGCAAACCACTGCTCTGCACTAATGTCCCAGCATGGCTACCAGCACTGGAGATTAATTGGCTGCAGTGCAACTGTGGGGAAAATGAAGAAAAATGGTAGCACAGACAAGACTTAAGTAAGGTCGCCTGGTTACTATAGAGGATCCCAGTATCTCCAGGAAAGCAAGGAGAACTCTAGGGCAGTCTTCTGCCTCAGCTGCAGAAGGCTGGTTTGCAGTGATACTCCCTTAGGAACAAAAAGGGACAGAAATGAGGAGGTAGCAACAGCAGAACCAACTCTAAACACATGGTTTCCTTTTACATAAGCCAGGCTCTTAGCAAAGATGTTAACATCAACCACACAAACCACATTCTCCCTGTATAAACAAATCTTTATTATCATCTCCAAAGACTCTATAGCAATTTCTTCAGCTAAGAACATTCATGCTGTGTGCAGAACTACCCCATTTCAGAAACTGACTGCATACAGGTCCCGTGCAGACATCAGGCCAACCCAATGCATTCCTACACTGTGGGAGGATACTTTTTATGCACCACCCATAGCACCTCAAGGATTCCTGTGTATACTACAGGCCAAGAGTGCCTTGCATCTTGGCCAAGCCATAAAAGCAATACAAGAGTCTGGGTATATAGCATAGGAATAGACTTTTAATGAAAAAGATAAAGAGAGTTTTGTTACCATGTTGCATCTTCAAACATTGGCTTGAAAGGATAAGGAGGACTGAGGTCATAGAAACAGATTTTCCCATTACTTCAATGTCTTAAATCAGGGATTCTCAACCTTTTTAGACTCAAGGTACCCCTCCATAACTTTTGCAAACTACAAATATTGTTTTATTTATTATAGGACTATCTGCTCAAAAAGGGGCCAGGAAGGAGGAGAAGCAGCCAGAAGGGAAGAGCCTCCTCTGCTGTTTGTTGGGGGAGAAAGTGCAGCTGGAAGGGAGAGCCCATATTTATATCCTCAAGCTTACTTAACTAATCTGGGCTCTAGCAGTGAGGACAAAGAAGGCCCTCACAGGTCATCAACCTCCGTGCAGGTTTCCTCCTTAAAAAAAGATGGCCCTGAAGCATGAGGTGGAACTCTAAGATGCTCTGGATATATGAAACAACACTCAAACTTGAATCCAAATACAAGATGGAAATCCAACAAGCATCAGAATAAAACAGACAACTGATCAGAAACCAACACTGTTCAAATCTGAGAAATTCTGCCACCAAACAAAGCAAGTGCTTGCCAAAGTGTGAACAAGGAGAAGCTTGTTGAACCTTGCTGAAAACATAAGGGAACTCCGAACAGGTCCTTTAGAAGAGGAGCTTTGCTCCAAGTTACTGGTGAAGTCACCAACTGCCAAAAGAGACAAAAGCCAACCTAATAAGAAATGGATAGATGAATTTTTAGGAACCACATTTAGTTTCTGTGGAGCTGCTGAAGGTATGCTGCACCTCCAGAATAACAGATATACCACAGGAATTAAGGGTGGACATGACAGAGGCTCCAAGATCTCAGTCCTGGCTCCACCAGTCTGAGACTCAAACCAGGATAAGACCTAGAGATACACCTCTGTCGCCCAATCCAGTAGGTCTGATAATGGCATTGATAAACCAGGTGCTGGGGAATTCACATGCAGATGTTGCTGGGAGTAGTGGGAAGTTAGGCTGACTGGCACACATTAGGAAATCACCTGTTGCTATTGCTGCAACTCTTCTCCTCCTGCCCCTAAGCCTACTGATTACCTCATCTTCTGCATCCTATCTTATCTACTGTTTAGGGGACAGGGCCTGTATCTTCTACCTGTCCCATAAAGCACTTCACACACTCTAGGCACTTAACTTGGGGTCATATAGTAAGAGCAATGAGGCACCATAGGACACTCTTGCGACATCTTTCATAGCCTGAGGGAAGCCTGCCTGCCTGCCTACACAATTCCAGGACCAAAACTGAGGCCTGTTTTCAAGTGAAGCACATCTAATTGACCAGAACTATGTATCCACCCAGCCTAGTCCTGTTGGGAGGTTTTGCTCTGGGAGCAGGGATGATGCCCTCTGCAAGAACCAGGATTTCCTGAGGAATAGAGAGTATGGTCATTAAAAAGGTCTACTCAAGATCACCAAGCAAACCTGTGTGCTACCTCTGTCTGATTTACAGAATCACCTCATGGCTAGGTGCACCAACTTCAGGATCTTATTGGCACACAGGCCCACTGGTCTCACCATAAGGCTCTCTTCATCCCCCACATTGTCCCCATCCAGAATTACTGGAGAAGTGTTTCCCTGAGAGATCTCCCTCCTCACAATCCACTTCTGCTCACTATGGCTACTGGAGGTCCTGCCAGGGATGGTCACAGCTTCTGAAACCCATCCCAGCAGTATCCTCTAACAATATCCCACAGCTACTGTCATCCCATTAAGTGAGAAGACATTTAAGCTATATATGTCTTTTTGGTTCCACTTCAGGGCTAGTAACAGGTAATACAACATTTCCCTAGCTTGATGGTCCTCTTACGTCCAGGCCATCTTCCTGGACATGGACTGCTTCAAGCACTCTACGTCGACATCACCAGGCTGCAGGGACCTTTCCAGACCCACCAGCAAGTTTTGATGGCACTCGCGGATGTTCAGGGGATACCTGGCCCTCACAAACTCATAGGCTGCCATCAGTCTCATTTTGTGTTTCACCATCAGGTACTGGATGACACATGTAGGGGCTAGAGAGTAGCCATCCGTGCAGTGGATCAGAACTCGCTTCCTCTTCTCCAGTGACGCATCAATGCATTCATTGATGTCTTGGAAGCAGGACTCTGTCAGGACAGGATATTTCCCATCCAGAAGTTCTTGGATATCTACCTTCAGGCGGGACCAGCTGTGCCTAAGTCCTCCTCGATTGCATGTGCATGGGATGATGCTCAGGCTGCGGTCGCTGGGCAGGTTGCTCATGTCGATGATGCTATCTATATTATTCTTACACAGTGCCCGTCCACTGTAGGCTGCATTAAGGTTCCCCAAGTAGATGCAGTCCATCACCCTGGCAATGACAGGCTCTGAAAAGTGAAAGTACTCTGGTTCTTCTGGCTTCGGGCTGCCAAGTACAGTGGATTTTGGACTCGCCCTCCAGACATAGCTGCAAGCTTTCTTGGAGCCAGAGAAGGCCAGAGGGTTGGAATCTGCCTCAGAACTGTTGTTCCAAGATGGTGACGGAAACAGGAAGAACTGGCTGGAGGACTTGGCCTTGGGGAGCTGTTCTACTGGACTGGGAATGGCAGACTGCGCTGGGGAACTGGACCTAGAGACACAGAAGAGGGATGCCCGCTCCAGGGAGCCTGTGCTGCTGGCTGTCCCTCCACTGTGAGCCTGCTCCATCTGCAAGACAAGAAGTAATTGGTGAGACTAACAGCCCTCTGGTGGCAGCTGGGGCAGGAGTTGAGCAGGCCTGGGACACCAAAGCAGGAACACGTTACATGAAAGGCCCCAAAAGATTCAAATGTTACCAGTCCCAATAATGGGAATTGCCCCACCTCCCTGGCACCAAAGATCTAACATGCCACGAATAGGCCCAAGTCACTCCTCACCTGAGCCTGCAGACCCTTCCGCCAGTCCCGTGATGCCAGGCTGTCATACCGTCCATCCCCATCTGATGAGAGCGACAAGCAGAGCGTCCGAGGTGTCCTGACAGGCAGCTGGGGCACAGAGGCCACATTCCTTGGCCTCTGTTCAAGTGCTTCATTCCTGTTCATCATTAAGTTTGGACAGGAGCCTGTAGGAACAGAATAATCCTCCTAGACACAGCTCTCATTATAAATATCTGCCTTGTACAGAGACAGGGCTCCAAGCATCTTAATGAGCCTATTCTGTAGGAGGAGACAATTCCTCTTAGTGTGCTGCCGTTAGTGCACTGCAACTCATCGAGACGAGTTGGACCCAGTCATAAGAAGGGCATTGAAGCTGAAGGCAGAAAGGGACTCAGCAGAGCTACAGACAAACCTTTCAGTTTGTTTTTCAATGCACTCGCTGTTTCCCCATCTCTACATGGGCATAATATTTCGCTATTATGCCCATGAGACCATTTGTATCTAGAATGTCTTTTAGTTTGGGTTTGCTGGCTCCCTGCTACTGTGATCTGCAAAGAGCACAGCACTTAGTGCTGTTATTGTGCAGGGTGTTACGTATATGAGAACACTAGCATTCATCTCTAGTCTCAGAGGCCTTAGAAAGGCTCCAAGAGCCAGAACACAGTACCAACAGGCCTCCTCTGCCTCTAGCACTGAGAAGGCAGTAAGTGCAGCCAAGAAAACAATTTCACTCTTCCCATCCCAGGCAAAGCAAAGGAGGTAAAGTGAAGGGAACCAGGCTACAGATGACATACAAGGGTAGAAGCCCCCTCCCATTCCCTCCATCTCACTGTGACTAACCTGATTATGCTAATGCAGTCAGGTTTCTGTTTCCATTTGGGAAGAGGGCTGGGAGTCAGGGAAGGAGCAGCCTTTGGAACCGCTAGTAGTTCAGAGTGTCACTCAGAGGCAGGATTAGAAGCCTCAATTTTCTAGCTCATAGCCCTAGGCTCAGATTTTAGTTCTCTAAGTTGGATTTTCCTCTTTTATGGTAAGCTCTTTTAATATAGGGCTCCTTGGAAAGCAAGCACAAAAAATCCCTCTCCATCACAGAAACAGCTTTTCTAGTCCATGACCTTAAGAAGCCTGGATCATAAAACCAAGCATCTAACATCTCCTCCCTGGTACCAATCTGTGATCCCAACAGAGACTTTAAGAGACTGATGGATCAGGAAGCGGAGCCCTCAGAAATTCCTAGGGACAACCTGGATCTTGTTACAGGAGTACTGAAGACCCAGCCCAGACTGTACATGTTTGTGCAGATACTTGTATGTGCCTGGGAATAAGAAGTAGACTCTGCTTCAGAAACCTCTTGTTCTAGAAGAAAAGCATCTAAACAGAACATGTAGGAAGTCCAGACTGAGGCAACAGGCCTGTCTCCACCCACACTAAATCAAAGCCTACAAGGCTTATCACACCATTAATAAACAGCAGTAGCAGGTCAATTATTAACCTCAGAAGCCTCCCCAATCACCTTTAAATTGTGGGCAATAGCTCATCACGGTTCCACCAGAAACTCCTAAGCCAGTCATTTCCCTGCTAACAAGAGGTCACATCACATTTGTTTGTCAGAGGTAATCTTTTTACTTCATACCAGTTTTCCCAGATCCTATGGAACTACAGAAGCCAGATTTAATAACAGGCAGAAGCTCTGCATAGTTTTTAGAACCAAGGCTACCATTAGGGCAGTGAAACCATGCCACTGCATAGCACCTCAAGAGGAACAAGGGCCCTTCTACATCAGCAGCCATGAAATTGCCCAATACTGATGGCCTAATACTGAACCCACTACCCAGCCTTTGCACAGGGATCCTGAAAGGCAAACCTTTTCATGCTTCCATCCATACCTACCTGTGCAGCACTGGGAAAGAGCCTTGGATGAGGACAGCTGCAAGGAGATGGGCATCTTAAAGGTCTTCTGAAGGCGTTTTGCAATTAAGCCTGGGAACAGAAGGGGAAATGTAAATCAAGAAGGGCACAGCCAGAGCTTTAGAGCATACTGCCAAGTATCCTTCAGTACAGACCCATATGGCAACTACTCATAAGCAACCCATCATGGCTGCTATTACTAAACATCATCCAAACAGGCAGAGGACACAATGTTAAGCCACTGGCTGCTAGTTAATGCTCTGTTGGCTGGCACTGAAATCCAGAGCGCAGAAGCCTCTAACTCAGAGTTTCTTAACCAGGTGCCACAGCACCCTGGGGTGCTGCCAGATCCTTTTAAAGGGTGCTGCAAGGTGCCACACAATATTGGCACCATCCGGTGTGCAAACACCTACACATGATGCTGAAGATAAAACCCAGAGATTTCAAATTGGAATCTACAGTGTCAAAAACATTCCAGCCTGCTGTGGTCTTTCTGGGTTCTTTGCAACAGAAGAAATGCTTTATTATTTTTCCATAGTCAAAGAACAAGTGAAAGCTAAGAGCTAGCCTTTTCCAAGGGGCACCTGAAGTCTAAAAAGGTTCAGAACGACTGCTCTAGCTAGTGATGGCTTGGCACCCTATCTCCACCCTGAGTATGGCTTAGGAAACCGAAGGCACACAATAACAGAACTTGTTGAGTCAATTCTTCAAGAAGCAGACATACCATTTCCCTACTCAGAGAGACCTTAAGATAATCAGGCTTGTATCAAGTTTATTCAATAACTTAACAGTTCCAGAAGCCCTAGAGCAATGCTTGTTTGTTCTGGAGTCCCTTTCCCAAAGCAGACATTTAAGCCATTGCCAGTTTCTACCTCAACTCCCCACTCAACCATTTTAGAAACACAATCAAGGTCAGAGGCGTGCCAAGCCTGGTACTAGTATGGGTAAGGCACATGGCTTCTGCCATCAGTAGCACACACAAGGGAGTGAAGAGGCTGGCAATACATCTGCCTCTGACTCACCACCATGAACAACCAGGTACTCATTTACAAGAGGCCTTCAGCACAAGTCCACATGAAGCCTCAAATTGATGTCTCCTGGAGCTGAGATACTTTAACTGCTCTGCCACCAGCATGGCTTTTCAGACAATCTTAGTGCTTCTCCTGAGGCCAGGAAACATAACTTCCACTCCATCCATGGCAGATCCCTTTATACCTAATATTTCAAGGGCTCAGAACAGCAACAGATCACAGACATCAGGTATGATGCATTTCATCCCTGCTGGGCCTGGGCATACCAAGATAGGAGCACCAGTGTGGTCTTAAAGAAAAGTGCCCCATTGGTGTCCCCATAGCTGTTCTGAGCTTTAACAGTCGTACCACCATATGGCCATGTCTCCCGCTGCTGTCACAGAAGTCACACGTGTTGGAAGTTACATGTGGGCAGAACACAGAAGCCAAGTAGTCCTAGGCAACTCTGAGGAGAGCACCTTCCCTGTAAAGCCAAATCTTGAACTTATCATATGCCCTAAACCCCCTGGCAAACAATGTCCTCAAGGACTGCAGGGCAGAGCTCTGAACATAACTTTTTCTGGCTCTTGTGGATATAAGGAATACTCCTTACTATATCCAAATTGGAAGCTCCCAACCAGTTATAACACTAACGCCAAAACTGTCTAATGGTGTGATGTCCCTACATTAAACTTAGGCATCTACCTACATATCAAGGAACTGATTTTTTTAGGCATTGAGCAGTTACAGCACCCACTGACATCAGCAAAAAGTGCTCAGACCTTCTGTAAGGCCAGGATCCAGGACCCTGCCTCCCCATTCCAGAGTCATGCTAATCCATTTACACTGCGGTAGCCTCCTACCTGCACACACTTATGCCACGTTTCTGCTTTTGTGGTTACTTTTACTGCCCTGAGTAATGCCGCCAAAGTCCATGGGACTAATCATGGTACTTCAAGTTAAGTATAGATTGAACTGCCTCACATCTACATGAGTCACACATCTACATCCATGAGTGACGGGTGCCTCCTGAACCTGGGGGGCACCTGCAGAAGCCGCCAACGGTGGTGGCCCTGTCGGGGGGGGGCACCAGCCCTACCGGCAGCATCAGTGTCGGCGGTCTGGGAGGCACTGGCCCCATCGGGGGCCACATGCACCCCCTACTAGTCGCCTATATCTACATGGTATAAGGTAATTCTGTGCCGAGATACACGACACTGAATTCACACAACCCTGCTTCCACACTGAAACAAAAGCAGCCATAATCACACGACTGGGTCTGAAACCTGCTTCCTCTCTCTCACTCACCTGTTACCCCATTCTTCTTTGGGTTATACTTTTTGTCTGGAAGCTTGCAAGTAAACAGATCCCTGAACGGCTCCTCTAGTGACTCCATGGTGCTCATGCCTGAAACACAAGAAATAAGAGGCTGAGACATGCAGCCTGACTGCCTGTCTTTCACAGTGGAAGATCTAGGCTAAAAGGCAGAAGAACCAGGCTACCCATCCACAGACCCAATGCGAGGTTTTCTTCTAAGGGAATGAATTGAAGCCATGTGTAAAAAGGATGCTAGCAAAATTGGAAACCAGGTATGAATCCCTCCCAGATCTAAAACACCTAAGTTTTTGGAAGCCAGGAACATAACAGCACAAGAACATAAGAGCTGCCATTTACTGGGTCAGAGTATTCTGTGGCCCAGTATCCTGTGCCCCACAGCGGCAGAGGGTGGATGCTGAAAGGGTGAGTGAACAGAGTCTGGCCACCTTTTCTCTCTGGTGAGTTGGAAGTTTCTGGTGAAGACAACTCTACTCCTCCTTGAAAGAGATCAGTGCCTAAAAAGTTGCACACCTCTAGGAATCTGATCCCAAACAGGGAATCAACTTTGGCTCCCCTTGCATTTTGCCACCATGGGACTGGCGTTTAGGCACAAGGAGGGATGGACCCATAGTTCATTCTGCTGGCTCACACCAGGCCCAATCCACCCCTTCAAACATCATCCATGGCCCTGAGCCTGACACTAGAAGAGGAGGAGAATTTTTCGTGTTCCAATCCAACTCAGCCAAATCAAGTCCAAATCCGTGAGTCAGTCCAGAACCATAAGCAAGTGGCCCTACTACTGGCAAACATCCTCCACTCCAGATGTTCCCAAATCCTTTGGCAGGCATCCTATGTGCAGGGCCAAGCCCAGAGGCTTGGGGTTCAGATGCCCCTGAGTTTCGCTTGCCCTCAGCCATATGGCTGCAGGAGCAAGTTAGGGAGGAGTCCCCCCTTTCCATGAAGTGGGCATAAAGCCAAGATCTTCCACTAGAGCAGCAAGCGGGACATTTACCATACATTATGTCCACAGGTACTAACCCGTGCCAGAAAAGTGGTTAGCCCTGGGTGCAACTAGGAAAACCACCCTGGTGGTCATAGTATTTCCCCTGCCAGGTAAGTACTAGAAGATGAAGAAGCCTCCTGTTATTGAAACGGTGGTTAAAATGAGGAGGAAGTTTAAAAGAAGGGTGCACAAGTCCAGCTGCTCCGAGGCGAGGGCAACACCTGGAGCAGGGTGCATCCCCTGATGATCATCATTAGAGGGTTTATTTGAGGGGGAGGGGCAAGGGAGCCTTATGTTTTCTGAGCCAGCCTCAAGATCTGG